ATAAGCTTAGACTCTTGAAACTTGCCATGTAAGCCAGGCAGGTTTTAAACTCTGTTCTTGCCTCCTGAGTGCTGGTTTATAGGTAGAAGCCAATACGCCAAGAGTAAATTTTTGCTGTTCTTAGGTAACATGTCTACGTTGCCCAGGCTGGGCTTGAATTCATAATCCTCCGGTCTTGACCTCCCAGTTAGCTGTGATTAGCAGCACATAACACTGGGACTGGGTCAGTGTCATTTTGTAATTTTGTTTGGCAGCTGGGGATGTGCTCCGTGGTCAAGCAGTTGCCTAGCATGAACAAAGCCCAGGTTTGTCCCAGCACCACCTACATAAATAATTTTGACTTTGGATAAAAATAAACATCCTTTTTGAGAAAGTGAAACAACTGTAAAATAATGCCATAACATATCCCATCTCCCCAAGCCCTGCTCCAGGAGGTCCTGGTTTCTCTGAGGTGCCCCATGAGCCCTGAAAGAATGGGAAATTAGTGCAGGAATGGCTTTACCTTCACTGCCTTCACCTCTGTCCACAGAGGAGACCAACAGCTGCCTCCGATAGCCCACGATGGTTCCACAGTGATCCCACCTTCCTGAGGTCTGGAGTGGAGCACGGTGGCTGGATCCTGTGCTGTCACTTGTATCTAATCAGTTTTGCCCGCCAGCTATTTGAGTCATGGTTTTGATTCAGCCTAATGCCACTTCCTCCTACTCTCTTTCAGGCAAGAATGGAACAGGAAAGGCAAAGTCTCTCTGCAGAGCAAGAGTCCTGGGAGTGGGAGACAGGCTCTCCTGATGGTGTCCAGGGCTCAGCTCTATCTAGCACTTTATGTGAGGACAGTAGGGCCTCTCTCCCCACACCTGGGAAGGTCAGTTAGGAAAGTTCCACCGTCTGACCAGTGCCCAACACATCTCCCTCTTCTATCTCAGCTCCCCACTTCCCTCCCAAAATGGGTCCCCTGGGTTTCCCTCTATCCCTCCATGATAGGAGCCTGGGTGGTTTCAGGGCTCTCAGAAGAAACTTAGACCAAGCCCAGCTTTCTCAGTCACACAAGTTCAAGTCACAGGGTTTCATTCCTTTATTAACAATTCAGAACATGCCTTCTGATCATCCAGGATTTATCACAATGCTGTGTCGACTGTTGCTCTTCCTAGACATCCCTGAAGCTACACCTTCCTTCCTTCCCTGGCTGCTACTACTGGTTCCTCTTACCCCGAGCCCCAGGACTGGAACAAGCCCAGCACTTTACTTTCACATACATGGCAAGAGATCTGTCACTGACTTAAACACTCCCACCTCTTGCGTAGATAGGAAGGCAAGCGGACTTGAACATAGGCCTGCTAGTGCCCCTTTCCTTCAGGCTCCACAGTTTCTCCTGTGAAGTAGGAGCCATGAAAGATTGGAGGATTTCTGAGACTTCACAACATAGCCCATGATGGTCTGCAAGTCCCAGTTCTCCCACTGTCTCCCAAGTGTTGAATTTACAGATGGAGGCCACCATGCCCAACTTAATCTGGCTGCTTCTGCTTCCCAAGTGCTGGGACTAAAAGCAGGCATTATTATGCCCGGCTTCCAACATTTTTTTTTAATTACTGAGTAATACTTTTATTTTTCTGACTCTTCTACCAGAATGTAAATTCCATGAGGAGGGAAAGGCAGACTTCTTACTGTATCCTCAGCATCCAGTGCATCATGGGCGTTGGAGAAATTTTTGTAAAAAGTCAGGTATGTGGTTCATTCCTGCCATCCTCCCCATGAAGAGGTGGGCTGAGACAGGTGGGCTTTGAGTTTGATGCCACAAAGTGTCTCAAAACACTTCCCTGAAAAATTTTTGAGTATTTTTATTAAATAAATGTAGTGGCCATGGGCTGAGGGGCATTCTTGTCCTTAGCATTGTCTAACATGAACATGAGCTAGAAATAGAATGTACTGAAATCAGGGCCAAACTTAGGGGCAGGTTTTCAGGCATCTAAGTCTGCTGGGCTTTTGCCACCAGCCACATAGAGCCCAGGATAGAAGCACCTGGCTCTAGGGCACCAGGTGACTCACTTAGGCCTGCACTGTGAGCAGCCAGCAGCTGCAGGGCTGACTCACCCTGGAGAGTGTACTCCGAGGGTAGGTACCTCGACCCACTGTCTTTTCCAGCAAGGGAGGGCCGGCTATGGCCAGCTCTGCTCACAGCTCACGGAGGATTGTGGAGACAGCAACCCTAAACCTGGCCTCCAATCTTAACGGCTTCTACACAAGAGAAATTGTGGAAGCCTGAAGGAAAAGGACACCTACCTTGCCCTTGGGTCTAGTGAGTGGCATAACCTATGTTCTGGTCAGCTTGCCTTCATATCTACAGGATAGGTGGGTCATCCTACATGGCTCAGAGAAAGTTAGTGCTTGCTTGGCCAGCAAGTAGCTGAGGGGCCTTTGTGTTCTGAACTATAAAAGGGAGCGGGCCAGCAGGAGGAGGCCAAGCCAGTGAGAATCCCATCTTTGAAGCGTGTCCAAGACCGGGGCTGGCCATCCTGGGAGGAGCGACTGACCCTAGCTAGCTAGCCTAGCATTTTCTCTACAGTGGAGAAAATGACAACTGCCCTTGTTTCTCAAAGCTATTGCAGAATAAGAGACCTTTTTTCTTTCATCCCTCCCTTCTCAGAAGCACTTCTAGAAAGCCAAAAAGCTGGGATCGGGTTCCAGAGAGTCTTCCCAGATAAATATTGACCCCTACAAGAACCCCTTCTCTCGCCTTTGCCCTGCTTGGAGAGTTTGCATCTACCTCGCTCAGAAGCCCTCAGCTTTCCCTTGGTCTCCCCGCAGCTGTTAGGCTGGCTTTGCCTCTGTCCACGGTTCTTAATCCACCAGGGAACGAAAATGACTCATTAACATCTCCCAGGCGTTCTCAGGGCACCTTGGCGTCTGATCCCTATTCTTTCCCCATTAGGGTGGCCTGTCGGGAATGATCTCCAGTGTAAGTCAGAGGTGAAGTAACTTGCCCAAGGTCACACAGTGGGAATGTGGCAAAAAGACTCATCTTCTGCCTGGCAGTTTGGCAGATGCTCAAATCTTTGTGAAAAGGGTGAGATGTTTCTACTTCTCTGGCCTCTGGGAGCGTCTGTAATGAGGGTGGGAGGACTGTCCGTCTTCCCAAACGAACATTTCATCTCCTTAGTTCACTCTCACTTTCAAAGTTAGATTTAACTCTAATGTCTCTGTGTTCAAGCGGAGAGATCAGATCGACGCCCCCTCCTCCGAGAGCAAAGCGTAGTCAAGCAGGTGATCTTCTCCAAAGACCAATAAATAAAAAAACAAAAATATTTTCCCCAAATAAACAGCTCTACTTCTTCGCAAAATGTGCAGCCCCAAGTCCAGCCCGCGGCGCCCCAGCACACAGTCCGCAGACACTGCGCCGGTCGGCGGGGAGGGGAGGCCGCGCGGCGGGGAGCGGGTGGGCGCCAGGCGCGCTGCCAGCCTCCGCCCGGCCGCACCGCGGGGGCCGCCGCCCCTCGCCACGTGGTGGTGGCAGCCTCGGGGTCCCGGGCGCCGGCCCAGCTGGAGAGACCCGGAGCAGCCGGGGAGGAGGAGGCGGAGGAGACGGCGGCGGCGGAGGAGGAGCGGGGCGGGCGAGCGGGAGGGAGGGGGCCGGGAGGGGAGGGGAGGGGGTGGGGAGAGACCCGGCGGCGGCGGCAGGGCGCGGAGCGGCGCGCGGTGCCAGGGGGTGGGGGCGCCGGGGCTGGTCAGGGGAGGGAGCCGGCGGAGGGGTGCTCTGCGACTGCGAGCAGAAGCCCGCGGCAGCCGTGAGTGCGGGCCGGGCCGGGGGAGGGGGAGGGGCGCGGCGGGCGCGGGGCGACCGGGGGCGCGGGAGGCTGGGGGCGCGGGGCGCAGGTGGGCGGGCGCTTCGCCCAGGAGTAGAGTAGGGAAGGGTCCTGTGCCGCTGCCCGCAGCCTACGGCCAGCCCAAGCGCCGCTGCTCAGTAGCCCGCCCCGGGCCCGGCCGCGGTGGGGGAGGGGGCTGCGCGGTCTCGGCCCCCGAGAGGGGAGGGGCGACAATTTCTGTCTGCCGATCCCGAGGGGGTTTCAAGAACGGCTCTTTAAGGGACCGCGGGAGGGGCCTAGCCGGTACCGGCGCCCCCTCCCCAGTCGCCTGCCGCCGCGCGCGGCCCCAGGATGCGGAGGAAGGCAGCTCGGGTCTCACGGCAGGGGTGTGTGGGGACACGGAGTCCTCGAGTGGGGGGTGGCCCGAGATCGTGGGCAGGGGCCGAGGGGGGTGTGTGATGAGCGCCGGCCAGCGGGGTAGGGGTAGGGGGTGGCGTGGGCAAGAGAGGGTTAAAGGTGGGGCCAGCCCTACAAACACGCGCACACGCTCCTTACTCAGACCTGTCACACGCGTCCCTCCGGCACTTAGCCGAGGCTGGGGGAGGGGGCTGGGGCCTGCATGGTCGGAACTCGCGCCTTCGGGCCGAGCCCCCTGGCTGAGGCGCACACACGCTCCAGCGCGCGCACACACCTCGGACATTCCCATAGTGCCTCACGTGACACTCGGCCCGAACGTGCCCACCCTGCCCACACGCTCACGCACGCGTGCTCTCACACGCGCGCACACAACCTCTGGCCGCTTCCGAACTCCGCGCTGACCCCCGTCCTCCGCCCCGCAAAGGCGCTCATTGACGGCGGCACACCTACACTCATTCACAGACACACACTCCCCCCACATGCCAGCCACAGCCACACATTCATAAACAGGGCCGGGAGAAGTACACACGCACCCCCTCGCTGCCTACTCGTTTGGGAGCCCTGAGTCATTCCTGCCCCCTCGCAGGGCTCCCCATTCCCCTGAGTACAGGCACAATGGGACAGGCTCGAGGCTCCCTTAGTGGGCCTCGTACCCCTTAGGCCCCCTTGCCCAGTTTGCTGCCTCTGACACTCAGCCAAGGACTTCCTGTAGGTCCCAGGTCAGGGGCTGGCTGAGCCTGGACGGTTGCCACAGCCCCGGTGCAGTTAAGGGAGGCGCTTCCTTTTCCTGAACTCTGGGATCCTGCAGGAGGAAGTTGGGCGGGGGCCGCAGAGGCCAGGCTGACTGGTAGGACTGGCCCTCCAGAAGCACTGGCTTTTCTTAGTAGCGGCGACGGAGGCCTGGGATGGGGATCTCGGCGGCTGTCGAGGTATTTGGGAAAATGGAGATCTGGGGGAGGAGACCAGGCAGATTCTGGGCTGTGCCAGTGCTGGGACAGTAGGTCTCCCATCCACAGGTCTCTCTTGGTTCTGGAAAGAGCCCTTCCCTGTCACTGTGGCTTCCTTGACCCTGTTTATCAGTTGTCCCCCCGACTCCACTCATGAGGTCCATCTGGTTCCATCTCCTTCCTCTACGATCTGTGACAGCGGAGGATAGACAGGATAGACATAACCTTCTGAGGGAGAGAGTGTTGTGGGATCTGGTCACCCAGCTGAAACTCTACAGCTACTACAGGGTCCTCAGACCAAGATGGGGGAGTTGGGACAAGCACCAAGTGGTCCTCTTCACTCTGCTATTCTTGCTCTCTCAGGAGGCCCAGTGTGGGCTGAAGCCCTTACAATGGAGTCCATGTTTGAAGATGACATCAGCATCCTGACCCAAGAAGCTTTGGGGCCCAGTGAGGTGTGGCTGGATGGTCCTGGAGACTCCTCCCTCGGAGGCGACATGTGTTCTGCCTCCCACTTCGCTCTCATCACAGCCTATGGAGATATCAAAGAGCGCCTAGGGGGCCTGGAGAGAGAGAACGCCACCCTCCGCCGGCGCCTCAAAGTCTATGAGATCAAGGTCAGAACCTGGATGGGATGGGAAGTTGGGTAGGAATGTAGCAAGGGTGGGAGGGTGCCCGTGAGTTCAAGATGGAAGAAGTCATCAGAACTGGAGGCTCATCCTTGAAGAAGTGGCCGCTCTGGTGTGTGAGCTTCGCTGCACCTGTAGCTAAGTGGGGGGCCGGGGCCGGGGGTGGCGCTCAGCTTTGGAGTGGTAGGTCCCGTTGGAGAGGGCAGGAATAGAAGTCTCTGAAGCAGTAGGGTTGGGGCACAGAGTGGTCACTGGGTAGGGGCCAGACTTCTCTGAGGACCGCCCTCCCACAGTACCCACTGATCACTGATTTTGGAGAGGAGCACGGCTTCCCCCTGTATGAAATCAAGGATGGCTCCCTACTGGAGGTAGAGAAGGTCAGTCTGCAGCAGCGGCTCAACCAGTTCCAACATGAGGTAAGCCCCTGGCCAGCCCAACTCCTTAAGCTTCCTGCTTCCAATCTGTTTCCGATGCCAATCGCCTTGCCTCATCCCCACCATGGCCTTTGATTAGAGGTGGCCACTGCCCCCCCAAACCAGCTTCAGCTCTCCCTGTTCTATTGGGAATGGGGTTGGGGAGGTTCGTGGAGCCCCTCTGCTCCTTGTCAAGGACATCCCTGACCCTGGCGCACCTCTCCGGGCCTCCCCAGTTGCAGAAGAATAAGGAGCAGGAAGAACAGCTCGGGGAGATGATCCAGGCTTACGAGAAACTCTGTGTGGAGAAAAACGACTTGGAGACAGAGCTGGGGGAGATGGTGAGGCTCAGAGAGTGGGGGTTGAGGTATTCATGTACCTGGTACTGTGTGATTCTGTATGAGCCCCATGTGCCACACACACCCTGTTTGTGTGCATAGCACCTGTGTCCCTGTGTGTCTATCCGTGATTGCCTGCGTTGCCTTGTGAGGGAGACAGTGTCACCCAGGTCATGGGTGACTCTGTCCCCTTGGCTATGCAGTGACCCTGTAGGATATGTGTGTGTGTGTGTATGTGTGTGTGTGTTTGTATGTGTGTGCGTGTGTTGTGTCACTCCAGTGTCTGTCACACGATGGTNCAATTGTGTATGTATATATATAGAGATAGATACATATTATATTTCATATACACATATCCATATATGTGTATAATTATATATGTATATATCTCACACTGCATCAAAGCTGTACCCATAGCACTGTGCCCGAGCGAGGGTGCGGGTGACAGGAGAGGTACCCAGAACTCTAGAGATAGCTCTTGCCATGGGTGTGATGAGAGTTAGCGTGTGGCCATTTGTGCGAGTGTGTGGGCAGGTGGCAGGATCAGGAGACATGGTCTCTGTCAGCTCTTCACTGTGGCCTTGTTCCAGTTATTTAGCTTCCATCCCTCCTGAAAAGCAGGGTACATGGTAACCACCTCACTGAGCGACTGTGAGGGTAAAGGGACATTTGGGTAAGACCGTTTCCCTCTCATAGTCAGAGACGTGTGTGAGGCTCTTGCTGCATGGCAGGCTCTGTTCTCAGCCCTCTACGCACACTTACTCATTTTAGCTCTCACAACAATCAGAAGAGGTAGGCGTGGCACTGCTATCCCCATCTTATCCCGGAGGCAGACAAAGCTCAGAAGTGGAAGCTACACTCCTGAGGGGGTGGGGAGGCTGGACCCAGAGCCGAATCTTTGTATAAATGCCCCTGTGCGATAATGACAGGGAAGAGGATTGGCTCTGACCTTGCCAGCCACAGTAGCCAGTGACATCTGCATTGCTGGTGCCAGGAGGGGAGGCCTCGCACCTGTGGCCACTTGGAGTGTGAGTGTGGGACACATTAGCAACCTCTGCTCCAGTCTGGGCAGTGATGACTATCCGGCCTTGGGGACTCTTGGGTCTGGGAGTCCATGGAGCTCCCTGGCCCTGTCCAGACCCTGAGCCCTCTGCCTTTCCCTGCAGCGGGCCCTGGTAGAGACTCACTTGCAGCAGATCTGTGCCTTGGAGCAACAGCTGCAGCAGCAGCAAGGCCTCCGGGATGCAGCCTTCCCCAGCCTGAGCCCCCCACCTGCTCCTGCCACACCCTGTCCTGACCTGGACCTGCACTATCTGGCTTTGAGAGGGGGACCTGCCTTGGGTCATGGTAAGACTTCAATGACCTCTGCCTTCCTGATCTCCAAATCTCCAATCGTAACTCCCTTTTCAATACCACTGGGCGCCTCCGACTTGCCTAAAGTCTCCATACATTTCTTTCATTTATTCATTATTCTATTTATTTATTTATTTGGGGTCTTACTATATAGCCCTCTTTGGTCTGGAATTTACTATGTACACCAGGCGATATCCTTGAATTTGGATGCTAACGCCTTCTTCTGCTTCCCTGACGCTGGGATTACAATCACGTGACACCGCACCTGGCTCCTTTCCAGTATCTTAAATTTGTTCAAAATTATTCCATTCTCCTCTCCAACTGTTCTTTCACCTCAGCCACCCTTTGACAAATTCTCCCACTGCCATACCTCTGCTATTCAGATCATCAAATTCTTGGGTATGCCAGCAGAGGGCGGCCCACTCAGAGTCCCCCGAGGATGCTCCAGACTTCAGGTTCTAGCCTGAGACACCTTCCAGAGGCCATCTTATCTCCCCCCACCCCTGGCCTATACAGCAGGATTGAATCTCCATCTAGCCCATCCTAGTTTCCCTTGCAATAGTACCTCTCATCCCTGGGTGTTTGGCGGACTGTGTTCCTGTTGGGCTTTGTGTGGCAGCTAGAGCCTACCTCACCTTGTCTTGTCTCCCGACGGCAGGCTGGCCTGGCCCTGCTAGCGTAAGTGTGAGCGAGCTGGAGCGAAGACAGCTGGAAGAGGCCCTGGAGGCTGCGCAGGGGGAGGCTCGGGGGGCTCAGCTGCGGGAAGAGCAACTGCAGGCAGAATGCGAGAGGCTACAAGGAGAGCTGAAGCAGCTGCAGGAGAGCCGGGCCCAGGTAACAGTGACTTTGGAGCTGCCCTTAGATGTACAGAGCATAGATCAGCAGAGAAGGGGTGAAGACAGAGGGGAGGCTGGGCTCTGACCTCTACTTTTCTCCTCAGGATCTGGCCTCCAACCAGTCGGAATGTGACATGGCTTGGGTAAAGAGAGTTGGGGATGATCAGTAAGTCACATCTGTAACCCTTGCCCTCTCAACCCCATATGCTAGGAGACTACCTCAGGTCTCCACCGTTTGCTTTCCATCTGTCCACATTTGAGTGACCTCCTTTCCTAGGTCTAGGGGTGTGATGTCTGGGTTGCTTACACTCTGCCCCTGTTTCAGGAAGCAGGGAGGGCTCTGGAACGGTCAGGTTCTGGGACCAGGCCCGTCTCTTTTCAGGGCTTGGGCTGGGGATGCACTCAGTGGCTCTGCCACCCTGTTCTGTGCTCCCCGGTGAGTTTTCTATACCAGAAACAAAACTTAGAGGGTGAGAGTACATCCACTCTCACTCGTGAGGAGGGAGACGGCCTCCCTGGTTTAGGATTCAGCCTGCTGCGTCTCTTTATTTAAAGGGAAGAGTCCTTGAGATAGGAAGAGAGTAGAGTCCCAGAGGAGAGGCCTAGAAAATGGGAGGAAGCTGAGTGTGGGGGTACATGACAGGGGTCTTGGGACGTGCTGGGCAGCAAGGGTGGTGAGCAGCAGCAGTGCAGCTGGCATCGTTCATAGCTGCCCGGCACTTAGCCTCTCCCACTTCTGAGAAACAGTGCTTAGTGCTCTCTGGTGAGATGAGGCTAACGGTACCAGGTACAGGCTTCATCCATTCCTTACCAGAGAACACTGAGGCCCGAACGGGGCAGGAAGGAATTAACTTTCCCTCGGTGGCATACCCAGTTCCCAGGATTCCAGGGGTCCTCCCTCTCAACAGGTTTTCTCCTCATCCTTCCCGTTTCTGGCCAGCGAGAGATACCCCTTGCTTCCTTCCCCACCCAGGGGTGAGGGCCTGGGTGGAGCTGTGACAGCCGAAAGGGTGAGAACCTAGCTTGTGGGACTGATGAGGGGGAGACCCCTCCCTCAGCTAGGCTTCTGTGGGGGATGGGAGGGAGCTTTGCGGAAAGGGTCCACCCTAGCTTGTGGCTGGGGCTCTGGGACCATGGTAGTCCATGTATTTAAACCTGGAAAGCACACATACGTAGAGTAGATCCTTGCTGAACCCCGAAGGTCTCCTTAGGGGTCAGTGAGTCCAACCCCTTCTTACAGTGAAAATTCTTGCACTTAGTGGAGACTTTGGCAGGGCTGGATCCCAGAACTCTTCCTGGGCTGGGAAAAGGCCGTGCATTCTAGACTTTCCCTTTGCCCCTCCAGACCCTGGCTTCTCCTCCTGGGCTCAGAAGTCAGCCATTGCTGCAGGATGTGAGAGGAAGGTGAGGTAAAGATGGGAAGGGGCAAAGAGAGTGGCGGATCCTTCAGGGCTAGGACTGCAAGAACCAAGTGACAGATAAACCATCTCAGAAGGTGTTTGGGAGGCTGCATCATCCATATTGCTTGTTCTGGCCAAACTAACCCCTTCCTTGCCAACCCAAGAGAACTGGCCGAGGAAATTCTCCCAAGGTGCAGCAGGCTCCTCCTAGACCTGTCTGTGGCTTCCACAGGCCTCCTGGATCTCTGTCAGCCCAGCAGGCCTGACCTGCCCTTTCCTCTCTGTTAGCATAAATGCTTCTGGACAGCCCCAATGTGGCAGGATCAATTCTCAGAGGAAGTCCTCACTCCCCTGCTAGTTTTATTTTCTTATAAACTCGGTCTTTTTGGTAATAGGCAATTCCCTGGGGCTTCCTCCCATCCCCCCACCTCAGGATGGCTCAGTCACCTCTTTTCAGCTCCCGGGATCATCAGTCACCTCTTCTATCTACTTCTGCTGACTACATATCCAGTGGGGATTTTATTTATTTGTTTGTTTGTTTTTCCGAGACAGGGTCTCTATGTAGCTTTGACTATCCTGGAATTGCTCTGTAGATCAGGCTGACTTTGAACTCACAGAGATTCACCCACCTCTGCCTCCTGAGTGCTGGGATTAAAGGCGCCACCACCACCCAGTCAAGGGGAAATTTTATTGATGGACTTTCCCAGGGAATGAAATGCTGGCTCTACATTATCTGGGGGAAGAGGGCAGTTCCTGAACCCAGCCTGCCTCGTGGAATTAATCCTCTCATCTTGAAAGGTGCCTTCAGTCTCATTTGTTCGCTGGGGCAGCCAGATTGATCTCAGGAACCCTCCACTAAAACATCTCCCCTACAGCAGTCTTGCCTGTCTGAACCCATCCTGGTGCTCTCTGTGCCTAGGAGCTGGCTTTGGAAGCTGCAGACCCTTGTTCTCAGCTCTTGGCCCACAGACTCTGACCACCAGTGCTTCACAGCCAGGGGACTGACGCCAGGCACCAGGCCACAGGGACCAGGCTGCCATTCCCCAGGTCTGACCTGTGGGTGGGATCTTGTGAGGATGTTCGGGGAGGTAAGGACCCAGGAAGGTCCTTGTCAAGGTGACCTGTGCAGGAACCCTATAGTCCCCTCCCCTGGCCTGTGGATTCCTGGGTGGGACTGTTTGAAAGTATGGCCAGTGCTGGGGGCCAGAGAAATCTTACAGTCACTGCTTGAGGGAGAGAGGGCGCCAAGCAGATAGCAGCTCTGGAAGGTAGATGGAGTCTTATTGGTGAGGGGGCCCAGTGAAAAGAGGGGGAAACCATAAATTATAGGTCTTTTTTTCCTAGTGTGGGGGGCTCAGGGTTGCAACCTGGGTCCTTTTCCGCCCACCCCTCCCACCCCTTCTCTCCACCCACAAGCCTCTGCGTGGGCTGTGGTTAGTGGTGGGGAAGTGTGAACTCAGAAGAGAGAGGATGGAAACTCTGCACAGAGGTCAAGGGCAGTGTGGGGTGGGTCAGGACGGAAGTCGGAGACCCCCATGTACCCTGAACCTAGCCTCCTGCCCCCAGAACCAGCAGGCCCAGGGCCTCCTCCTTTAGGCTTCTCACCCTCCCTACTTCCTTTGCTTTAAGTCTCCTTCAACCGATACCCAGAACACAGAGAATTAACCCCTGAGCCCTTGCAGCTGTGGGGCATCCTGAGGGTGGGCAGGAGGGTCTGCTGGCCAGAGGAACCGGGTTTTGAAGGCATTTCCAGTCTTGTGCCTGCCAGCTGGGCCCAGAACCGGAGCTGCTCTTGTCTTTCTCCCCGTAGAAGCCAAGTGCATTCTCCCCTCTCTCATCGCCAAGTGGTTTTTATTGTTCTTTGTTTGAGTTTTGGTTTGGTTTTTGGGTTTTAAGACAGAGTGCATAGCCCAGGCTGCTGTGAACTTGCTATGTAGCCGAGGATGATCCCTTTTCTCCTCCTCTGCCTCCCTTGTGCAGGCGTTACAGCACTACTACCAACTTTTGTTTTTGTTTTGTCTGTTTGTTTGTTTTTCAAGACAGGGTTTCTCTGTGGCTTTGGAGCCTGTCCTGGAACTTGCTGTGTAGACCAGGCTGGGCTCAGACTCACAGAGATCCACCTGCCTCTACCTCCCGAGTGCTGGGATTAAAGGTGTAAACCACCACCGCCCAACCTCAACTGTTTTTTTTGTTTGTTTGTTTGCTTGCTTGCTTGTTTTGTTTTGTTTTTCCAAGACAGGGAAACACTATGTATCCCTGATTGTCGTGGAACTCACTATGTAGACCAGGCTGGATTAGAACTCCCAGAGGTCCACCTGCCTCTGCCTCCTTAGTGCTAAATAGCCCTAGTTTGCCTTCCTGGCTCTTCTTCCCAAGTGCTAGAATTATAGGCATGAGCCACCACATCCAACACACTTAACAAATCTTAAGCCAGTATCTTTAAGCAAACAAACAAACAAAAAGCCCAAATCCCAAAATGGGCTTTCTCATGTCCACATCACTCTCATAGCATTAAGAAAGAGTTCAGGAACCAGGGAAGGGTGGTCCAGACAGGTCCTAGCAGGCAGGGTGAAGAGGTTCACGGTTGCCTGCTCAGGTGGTTCTGCAGGTAGGAGGCCTTTTATAAGAAGGTGACCATGTGATTTGTTGACGAAATTGCATCACTTTTGAAAGTGAAAGGGGACACTATTAATTATGCAACTAGTGTGAGCAGGGACAGGCCAGGGCAAATGAGTCCCTGGTCCCTGTCCAAGTGTGGGTTGCTCAGTCCCGCTGTGTCTAGGGAAGCTTCTGGACCCATAGCCATCTGCTTCTGCCTGGTGGAGGCTGCCATAAGAGCTCAGGTCTGGGGACCACAAGTCATAGCTAGTCGAGGAGCATGAAGGGCTCAAGGCTCCGGAAAGGAAGTGGTGGAGCACTGGCTTGTTGCAAGCAACTTCCTCCTCCACCAGCCCGCAACCTCAAGTCCGCTCCACGGCCTGGTGCCTGTGGTCCCCTCCCTGAGGGTCTGGCAGGCGGGAAGACTGATGCTGGGTGTGCCTGTGGGTGGGTGGAAAGTTTGGCCCCTAAATTCCCCTGCTGGGTAGGGTGCCTGGGGCAGCTAGGGGGCAACCAGGGTAAGGATGGAAGGGCTGGGAATGCCAGGTTTCTGGTTTTCTTCCGGGTCTGCATCAGATGAGGGTTCTGACCACAGGACAACTATCGTCCTATTGCCTCCCCTGAAGAGGACCTAACTTTACCGCTATCCCTAGTCCTGACCCCCAAATGTGTCCATAATCATGGCCACAGAAGAACTGCCAGCCGTGTATCTAGCTGGACCCTGATCCCCGCTTTCATCCTGACTTGAAGCCAGTCTCCAAGTCTCACCCCATCCCTCAGGGCCGGTCTGAGTCCTGACTTCTCCCTACACTGTGGGGCCTGGTGGGGTGGGGGTGGTCTGTGTGGCTCCCAGACTCCTTTGAGGCAGAAAGAAGCTTTGGAGAGGATGCTCAGGTCTTTGACTTTCCTGGATTGCAGTTGCTTTATTAGTGACAGTGGAGACAACTCCTTCCAGGAGGGACTTTGAGATCCCTGGATTACTAGTGGGAAGGATGAATGAAAGGTTAAGTCAGGGAAGAGTAGCCCTCTCTCCTGCCAGCTCCACCGTTTGTACTCCAGCTTCTCCAAAGATGCCAACCGAGTGGGCTGAGGTGCTGAGAGCAAGTGTTTGACTCACCACTCTGCCGCCACTGCTCCACGGCCTCCTACTAGCTCTTAGCCACGCTGACCTTCCACTCCCTTGTAGTCTGTCGCTCTCATCACTCTTCCAAGGCAGGAGTGGTTCTCTGAACACCTGGGCTGCCTCTGAGGTCCCCAGCCTCTTCCTCCTCCTTTTTCTCTTCTGCGTTCCCACTGTGCATCCTCCCACTTCCCTGAGGTTTGGGAGGTGTTTGTATAACGCTTAGCAGCTGAGTCTTTGGAATCTTGGAGGTTGGTGCTCTTCTCCCAGCCTTAGGACGTGGCCGAGTGACTTTACCTCTGTGGACCCATCTTCTTACCTGTGACGTAGATAGGTGGGCATAGGGTAGTCGTAAAGACAAATGAAGTTCCTAGCCCATGATCAGCACTCGTATAGACCCAGGGAAACCTGTGCTGTGGCTTACATGACCTGTTCTTCCTCAAGTCATGATGGTGGAAAAATCTCTCAGGTGTGGCCAGGAAGTCAGGAAGCAGGGTATGTGTTTAGATGCACCTGTGAGGCTCTGCGTTGTGTTTGTCAAGTTGAGATTTTTTTTCCACTGAATTGGCAGTGTTTTCAATGAGTCATTCTGGTGCTTAGCATATTCAGCCACTAGTGTGTGAGGAGAGAGATGCCCAGAGAAAAAAAAGGCATGTCCCACAGGACTGTGAGGTGTCAGGAGGAGGTCAGAGCTCCTCACTCTGTCCAGGGTCTTTGTGAGGGTGGCCTGAGGCTTTTGGAGGACTGTGTCAGCCTGGAAAGAGCTGTGCACACTGTGGTAGGGGCTTCTTCCTTCATTTCTTGAAGCTCCATGTTTTTCACTTCAAGGAGAGTGCCAGGCACTGGGCTGTGGAAACTAGGGTGACTCCTGACACCAAGGGAGCCCAGCAGGGGAGAAAGGGGCCTGGGGAACTGAATGTGACAGGTGAGATCTCCCAGGCAGAGTGTGAAAGAGACGACCTGTATCTGTCACCTGAGATAGAGCGGGGAAAGTGGATGGGGAGAGCAACCATGCTCTGCGGACAGAGGTAACACTCCATCCCTGCCCTGTCCAGAGTTCCCCCTGGCTTCCACCACTGAGTGGACAGCATGATCCTGTCCTGACTAGGAACACACAGCTCCTGCACTCAAATGGCTTTCAGTCTAAAAGCTTCCGTGGAGAACCCCGAGTTTGGTGTGGGACATGTGGACAGGCTCAGAAGAAGATGCCATTTCTTCCCACAGACTTGTGGGATGGGGGTGGTGGAGCAAAGGGTGTTTTCATAGACATAAGGCCTGAGATATGGTGGGTTGGTGGCCATGGCCCAAGTCAGGGCTCCCTGGACTACTCCTGTCTTGGAAGATGGTTGGTGAGGCCTGATTTTCCCTAAAGAGTGGGCTTAGCTCCCAGAAGCCTTATTGTAATTGAATTAAAAGTAGCATTACACTGTGACCCTGAGTCGGTAAGAGTGCCAGCCCCTGAACCAGAGAGGGGCGCACAGTCAGTCATTCCCTGTTGTCTGCAGCCCCAGCCTGGATGCCTCTGCTCTCCTGATAGGCTCCCTGCCTCACATATCCCCAGCCACCGCCCTTTCTTGTCCCTCTGCGTGCACCCTCTCACCCTAGGAGGAGACTGACCCTCAACAGCACCCGTTACTTCCCTACATCGCCAGCTGCTGAAGTTCCAGGGTTCCTTCTGGAACTGTAGAGGTGGGAGAGCCAAGGAAAAGCCAAACCCTTACCTTCAGAGAGCACTCAGACCCATCCGAGCCCAGAAGCGCAGATGCAGGCAGTTCTGAAAGCCATGGCAGAGATCAATTGCTCCTGGGGCCGGGAAGCAGCTCATGGGAAGAAAGAGGGGCAGCACTGGAGTGATAATTTTCATTGTGTGTGTTTGGGGTGACCCAGAGGGAAAAAAGGGTCCTTTGCTAAACTTAGGCATGAGTGTTCCCCAGCTCCATGAGAGCGAGTGTTAAAGAGGCCTAATTTGCAGGATGTGAACAGGAAAGAACTGGATGGGAGCCATTTCTGAACCTGTACTGAGTAACAAGCCCTGAACAAAGAGCTGGGAAGAGAAATACAATGGAACAATTCTCAATAAAAGTCCACAGCAAGGCAGCCTTTCAGAAATGCCGAGTCTGGTGGCACGCCCTGCAGGCGGGCAGTGCCCAGCAGCTGCTTAGACAGAAATGAATGGCAAGGGCAGGACAGATGTGTTCAGAGAGGTCCTGAGGAGGCTCGGAGCACACAGGCGCCCTTTAGGCAGGGCCAAGAGCAGTGGGCCGGGAATGGGGCCAGCTTGGAGGGGAGCGAATCAACCTCTACCTTCCAGGAGTGGAGTGCTTCCTAAGGAATGGCTTCCTTTGTCACTGCCTGTGCAGAAGTGGTCCCCAGTGTTTTCAAGGTTGAGGATGTGTTTTTTTTTTTTTTTTTTTTTTTTTTCTCGAGACAGGGTTTCTCTGTGGTTTTGGAGCCTGTCCTGGAACTAGCTCTTGTAGACCAGGCTGGTCTCGAACTCACAGAGATCCGCCTGCCTCAGCCTCCCAATTATGAGCCCCCTCCCCCAGCACGCAGATCGTTTGTTTATAGTTTACAGTTTTGGGATTGTGGCCAGTATTGAACCCAGGACCGCATACTTGCTAGGCAAATGTTCTACCATAGAGTTACATTGTGCTTTTTGTCTTGGGGCGGGACCTCACCAGGCTCGCCCTGAACCTGTTCTGTGTCCCAGGCAGTCAGGCTTCAGCTTCTGCGTCAGCTTCCGTGTGCTGGACAGCGCGCCTGGAACATGTGCGCTGTAAACTCAGTATGTGGCTTTCTTAGGAATCAGCCCCCAAGTGGAATTCAGGGACCCCCTTGGAATCTCTCTATTCCACATCCTTGCCCTAGGCGGGGAACCTCTGCTCCAGTGTGGGGGACGATCTCTGGAAGCAGAGGCAGGCTCCCCAGAAGAGGTGGCTGTTGTGGTGGACCTTACAGGCAGAGAGGATTCTTGCAGCTGGGGTAGGTGCGAAAGATGCAAGGCAGAGCAGGTTCTTTTCTACTATGGCTGGGGCAGAAGAACCACATCCCTTTTCTTTCCCACCCCTTGCCCTCTGACCTCAGGGTGAACTTGGCGCTGGCCTACACAGAACTCACGGAGGAGCTGGGTCGGCTTCGGGAGTTGAGTTCCCTGCAGGGGAGGATCTTGAGAACTTTGCTGCAGGAGCAGGCCCGGAATGCAGGTGAGACTACCAGAGACGGACAGGCCCCCAGTGTGGGGAGCAGGGGTGCTGGGCCCAGAAGCCACCTCCCACTCCCTGGGTGAGCACTGTCCACGCGAGCCACTTGACTTGCCTCTCCACCTGGCTTTCTCTTTCCCAGGCCAAAGGCACTCGCCACTATCGCAGCGCCACTCCCCGGCCCCCGCGTGCCCCTCGCCCTCCCCACCTGCCCGACCGCAGCCCTGTGCCCCGTGCCAGTCCCCGGCTGCACAGCGCCGCTCGCCCGTGCCCCCATGCCCTTCGCCCCAGCAGCGCCGCTCGCCCGCCTCGCCCTCCTGCTCGTCGCCCGTCCCACAGCGCCGCTCGCCGGTGCCGCCACCGTGCCAGTCACCCAGCCCGCAGCGCCGCTCGCCGGTGCCACCCAGCTGTCCGGCCCCGCAGCCCCGGCCTCCACCGCCGCCCGGGGAGAGGACGCTGGCCGAGCGCGCCTACGCCAAGCCGCCTAGCCACCACGCCAAGGCTGGCTTCCAGGGCCGCCGCAGCTACTCGGAGCTGGCAGAGGGCGCAGCCTATGCCAGTGCCTCCCCCGCCTGGCTGCAGGCCGAGGCTGCCACGCTCCCCAAGCCCCGCGCCTACGGCGGCGAGCTCTATGGCCCCGGCAGGCCGCTCAGCCCTCGCCGCGCCTTTGAGGGCATCCGCCTGCGCTTTGAGAAGCAGCCATCAGAGGAAGAGGAGTGGGCCATGCCGGCCAGCCCACCCAGCCCCGAAGCGGGCACCATCCGCTGCGCCTCATTCTGTGCGGGTTTCCCCATCCCAGAGTCACCTGCAGCCACAGCCTATGCCCACGCTGAGCACGCACAGTCCTGGCCATCCATCAATGTGAGTTGTGTACTGCTTCCCTTAACCTGGGTACCATGAGGTGCCAGGAAAGAGCCTGCTCTCCCTCTGGAGTCCCACCCTGTCCCTTTTTCTCACACATGGTAGGCAGGGGCGACCCCGCAAACACACCCTAGCTTAATAGACCTTCCTCTTCCTCTCCCTCGGTTTCCAGTTGGTAGGAACAAGCTCTCAACTATTAGAAGTATGGTCCTCAAAGTCTTAGCTTTGAATTCGACTCCACTGTGTAGTGTCTTAAGGACCTCATTCAAATTCTATCAATTTCCTCATCAGCAAAATGAGGGCGATGCCACTATTACCTTAGTGGGTTTTTAGGAGGCAGTGATCCTAAAGCAGTTCTCAGATGTGTGGCTCAGGTGTACTATTATGTTGGTGCCGAAGGACAGGGATACTAAAAGGGGCAGAACATGGCCCCACACAGGGACCGGCCTGCCTATCAGGTTCCATACTCCACGCCTCAGATCCTGTACTCTTTTCTGTCTGTCCTGTTCTTGAGTGTGACCAGAAATTATTTTGGGGTTGTACATGGTTTGCAGTTGTCCAGTGCTTTAAGTTAGCTGTATCTGAGTCACTCTGGAGGCATATCAAAGTCCTGGATTCCCTCATTACTGGTGTGCCCTAGCTAACTTGAACAGTGACTCTCATACACCAGTGCCCTGGGAAAGAAGGAGGTGTTGGGTTAGTGAGTGTCGGGAATGTTGAGGACAGTGCTGGAGAAAGGATAGCCGGACCCCTGTGCATGCTGCAGCCCGCCCTAGTGCGGATCCTAGGAAGGAGCAGGCTGGGGTGTGAGGCAGCTCTAAGTGCTTTCATTCTCCCCTGCAGCTACTGATGGAGACGGTGGGCTCTGACATCCGCAGCTGCCCCCTCTGCCAGCTGGGTTTCCCTGTCGGGTACCCGGATGACGCCCTCATCAAACACATTGACTCCCATCTGGAGAACAGCAAGATCTAGGGCGCCTCTACCCCGGCTGGCTGTTTCTCTGCTCTCTTATCTCCCCCCAAACACTCACTTTGAATGCTGCATGAATCTCGTGGGGGGCCCCTGCCCCTTGCGGTCCCCAGATACCTCCACTAGCTACCGAGTCAATGTGTGTGCCGTCTTCCCTGGTCCAGGCACCACTCAGCTCTGGCTCTTTCCAGGAGGTTGACCAAGGCTCTCTCCACCTTCCTGGTTTCCTCTGGGGAGTGGGGGTCTAGTCTGGAATGGGGAGGACATACCTTCCACCTCTCTCTCTCTCTGCTTTTCTGGTTTTCAACAAGGTTGAAGCCAAGCAGAAGTCTAGTGCTTGGGGGGGGGGGGGAGAGCGGAGGAAGGGTCAAGAGCTCTTGGAGCCCCTTCCCAAATGTCCATCATCCCTGGGCAGTGTTCTCCCGGGGAGGACCTCTTGAGAGGGTCTCAGAGCCTGCCCTGCACACCGATGCCAGCCCTCTGTCTCATGCCCGACCAGCCTTGGACTCGTAGTATTGGGGAAGGAGGCATCTTGTTTCTCATTACTCTCTGCAGGCTAGCTCTGTTCTCCCCCTCTGCCCACCCTAGGGAACAGGGAACGCGGCAGAGGTGTGGGAGGACCCTGCAGGCCTTGGATGATCTAGCCCAAAGGGGCTGCCTTGAGGCTGGGACTCCTGGGCCATTACCCGCTCAATCCAGGGGACGGCCGGTCTGCCAGCCTCACAGGCCTGGGCCCTTCCAGAGTCCCTGGCACTAAGGAGAAGATCATCAAGGCAGATGCCTCCATGCTCCCCCACTGCAGCTCCTGACACCATGATGCCCTGGAGCCCAGGTGTTGCTGGGTGGGTGTCATCAGCTCCTCCCTCCCAGGCCAGAACCCGAGAATGGGCCCAGGGTGCTGTGGAGATCAACTTCAAAAGAGCTAATCCCCTTTCCACACCCACCCACCCACCCCTAAATTCCCTCTGTGAAATCTACCTCAGAGCCGTCCCCTCAGAAAGACAGGGGAGCGGGAGGCTGGGGCCCCAGGCTGAGGTGGGAGCCTCCTGAGGGAGCCAGCTGCCCACTATGAATCCACCCCTCACTTTGAGCCTCCCTGGGGCCTTGGCCAGCTGGTGGCAGTGAAAACCACTGTCCATCACTTGTGCCATTCTGATCCAAATCTTCCGGGCCCTCTCCCCACACCCCTCCTTCCTCTGTGCAGGGGCGAGGGGTATGTCAGCAGGGAAGGGGCCAAGGACTCCAGAGATGCATCATTGTACCCTGAGTGTTCCCCAGGGAGGGGACATGGGGAAGGGGGCCTGTAGTGGGGAGAGAGGGCCCTGTGCTCTCTGAACAAGTTGAAAGTCCAAATAAAACTTACCTGTTCCATCTGCTCTCAGCCCGTGCTTCCATGGGTCAGGAGGGGCCTTGAACCTCACTTGGGAGGTCTTAGAAATGTCTTGGGAACCATAGACACTGCGGAGCTGGCACTAGCAAGTGTGGGTGGCCCACATTCCATGATTCTGTTGATGATACTGGCTGCTGGTTACACGTGGCTTATGTTTTCATTTAGAACAGGTTTGAAGCAGTCACCTACCCCTGTAGGTACAGAGGCTCTTGAATTCTTCCCATCAGCACACCTGGCCTGCAGAAGTTCTGGGGCGTTTTCATTGATCGGTAGCCCTTATTTTTCTGATAGCTTTCTCAGATAGTTCAGAATGCCAGGAACAAGGCTGGGACAACGTAAAGAAGGAAATCTATATTCCATGTCCTCGTGGGTCTAAGACTAGGATGGAGCTAGGCTTCAGGCGCAACTGTTTCCTCAAAGACCTCAGACACATGGGAGGCCAGAGCTGGGTCATGAACTCATGACTTTTGCCACAGGCTTAGCTGTGCTCTCTGAGAAAAACAGAAAAAAAAAACAAGTCTGAGTTGTTCATTCATTGACTCTGTCTTTCATTCCCACGAGACCTCTTTTTAAGTCGCGTGGTCACTTAAAAGCAGCACAGGGAAGGACTGGGGGTGTGGCTTAGTGGTAGGACTCTTGTCCAGCCTGCACAAAGGCCCTGGTTTGAATCCCTGGTACTGGAAAGAAAATACAGAAGTAGGGCTTGGTGGCCTTTAATCCCAACAACCAGGAGGCAGAGACAGGCAGATCGCTGAGTTCGAGGCCAGGCTGGTCTACAGAGTGAGCTCCAGGACAGGACTACAAGAGAAACCCTTTCTCAAAAAAGAAAGAGAAAGAGAGAGGACATGGAGGCCTTTGCTGACCGGTGGCTGAGTTCAGCTCTACAACATGGCAGCCGTCCCACCACATGCAGCAAGGGCCAGCCTCCCCATTTCAACTACTGTCTGCAGCCAAGACCTCACTGAGTGTGAGGAAAGGTAGACCACCTTGCAGATGTCCCCGACAAAGAAGATTCTAGGACATCTGGTATACGAGTGCCTAGTGAGCACTATGGCTCTGGAAGTGCTGGCTCGTGTGCCACAGAGACTGGAGATGTTCTGGGAACACAGAAGGCAAGGGAAACACTGAGCCTTGAGAAAAGTGGCGAAGAAAGGCATAAGAAAGAGCTGGCACGCGGTCACAGGCCGACCTTGAGTCTGTGACTAAGGTGGGAGGACACCCAGGTATCCTATTGGACCTTCCCCTGTCATCAGGGTGAAGAGAGCATGGGGACACAGGGAGCAGACTCTGGCAGCTTGTCTCCCTGATTTCTAGGGACTCGGGAAAGGCTCGGGTACAGAGCAGAATGTTGCTGGGGGCTGGAAGAGAAGGCAGGGGAGGAAAAAAGCAGTGTGTCCCCACCTAGGTCCCCTCCACAGCCACAGACTTCCATTGCCACTGAGGGGAGAGGGCTGGTGACCCTGCCACCCTCGTCCCTCCCACCTTCCAGCAGGACAGCACTTTTACTATCAATTCTTCTCTGCAGCCCAGAGGGCGACAGGACGGGGACCAAAAGGTTAACGTTTCTAGGCTCCTGAAAACAAGGTGGAAGACTGGGACCACTGTCACCTGAGCGAGGTAGAGGGGAGGCCCCTGAGAGGCTAGAAGAGATTCCTGGGGCTCCACTTGCTCTCCCCAGCCCAGACCCGAAGACCATGACCATGTGTCTGTACGGGTGAGGGTGAAGACTCAGCAGGAACCAAGTCAGCCAGGGCATATCTCCCTCCGTCCACCATTCTCTCCAGTTCTACCCTGCCCCCCCCCCAGGGTTTCTCCAACTGGAGGTCCCAGGTCCATGGGTAGGCGATCAGGTGATCTGCTGAGGGGGTGACAGCTCTATGTAAAACCTGTGGCTTCTCTTGAAAGGAGCCCATCGATAATAAAAAGGGGGTGCGTGGATGAGTGAGTCACGTTAATGAGAAACACCTCACCCAGCTGATTAGGGCTGATGAAGACGGGTGGTGGGGGGGGTGGAGTTTTCACCGGGTGCCAACTTTATAAGGTGGGGGAGCGGGCCACCTCTCCTTCAGCGAGAGTCTAAACAGAGCGGCTTTGGCCACCTCAGGGAGAACCGAGACATGAGAGAGAATGAAGCTTTAAAGGAGGGCGGGGCGGGGGGGTCTTCAATGGGAGAAGTGGCACGGGGTGACTAGCCAAGGACAGAGAGCAGCGAGGTATGAAACCCGCTGGCGCTGTTCTCTCCTTTCTGCCCTTCCTCTACTCCCACTCCTGTGACTTGAGAGAGTCTCAGAGGTCCAGAGAACTCCCCTCGCCAACTCCTATCCTCCACAGGTTCCCATGAGATCTAGTTCCATCCACAGGGGGTTCTGAGCCCAGTATTACAAAGTTGCTGGCCCTGCCCAGAACAGCCTTGGGAGGGAAGCTATGGCTTGAGGCCCTGGTCCGTGGCACTCACCAGAATCCCTGCAGTTGCTAAGACACAACTCTTACGTTCAGGGCCTGAGACTTGGTGGACTGAGGGCAGGAGGGGCAGGTGCACTGAAGGACTCCTCGGAGACCCACTCTGTGTCTGCCCAGCCCTCTGAGGATTACGCCTCAGCCTGCAGCTTTGGCTGCTCCCCCTGCCACTGTGGCCAAGGGCAGAGCTACTAGCCGCTTTTCATAGATGTTCCAGGCCGCTGTGTTAGTGTGGGCATAGGGGAAGACAGGGAGGAGCCGAGGACAGGATGGGTGTCACCAGCACCTCCAGCACCTCCTCATTTGCATTGCCACTGACACCCTTCTTGACCAAAAAAAAAAAAAATGGAGCCAGAAATAACAAGGGGGGAAAGTGGTTCCCTTGGGGAGTGACTTTGAGGGGGCTCTTTCCCTGCCTCCAACTCTCCCACGGTGCTAGGGACAGGAGGTCAGCTTCACAGCTGGTCTGGGGGAGAGGAAGTGCACCCACTGTTGCTCATTCAGCCTTAGACTAGCAGACACCCCATCCCAGCCTCTCGCTGCTCTCAACCCCACAGGGCTCCAGCACTCCACATCCCTACCCTGTGAGCCCCGTCTCTAAAGTCCCTCTTGATACTGTCAAGTCCTCCCAGCTGAGAAGGGGCCCCTGTCCATGTTCCCCAGTCTGTGGTCTGTCTTCCCCATCAGATGGAACCCTTCCCAGGTCCTGAGCCTGGCTCTCCCATTTGTCCATGAGCAACTCAAGAGGACACTCCACACAGGACACAGTCCAGCCAATATCAGCAGCGCGTAGGGCTAGAGTCTATGGCGGGAGATAAATCAGAGCCCAGTGTGAAGTCAGAGCTCAGAAAAACCCTTCCTCCCAGGCTCCCAGTTCCAATGGAGAGCATCTTTACTTGAGTGAAGTCTCCACATGTTGAGCCTTGCCTTCATGAGGCAGAGGGAAGAATTGGGACCACTCCTGTTGGCCTTGTACATGGTAGGAAGAAGTCTACCACTGAGCTGCCATTCCAGCCAATGTTGTGGCTTAAACCCTCACCAACACCTTTGATGTTCAAATTGTGTACATTAAATCCACTTCTTCCCCCAAGGGGCAGCTACAGCAGAGGGTGGGGGCGCAGGGGACAGTAGGTAGGGTGGGCCGAGGTCAGTGGGCTCTCTTCCTAGGTCCTAGGACCCGGGAGGGTGAAAAGGCGAGGGTGCAGGCAGTGCAGAAGGGCTGGGCAGGGAAACCAGGTCGCGAGAGACAGCAGGAGAGCTGTGAAGGCACCGTGCGAAGGGGTGAACAATGACTGAGAACTCCCCTCACCCCCCTCCGCCAAGAGATGCTATTTTGAGGGGAGAGAATGAATGCAGTGCAGGGGCAGTGGGGGAGGCTGCCAGCTTCCCCAGGGGTCAGCCAGCTGCTTGCTGCTTTTCCTCCCCCCACCATCTTCCTTGGCCTCAGCACCTCCTAGGACCATTTTCTCCCCTGGAGAAGTCTGTTGGTTCCTGAGTGAGAAGGGAAGGAAGGAGCTGACCTCTGAGCACCTCCCTGGAAGGTCCCTGTGGCCTCAGAGAGGGAAACATTTCTGTGATCATTGAATCCATGGTTGAAAATGTAGAGGGTACTGTGGGATGGGAGCTGAGCACTCAGGGCTCGCTAAAGCCTTCCTTAGGCCCTTTGGACCCCGATTCCCTCTTAGCATCAAAGAGAGGCCTCGGGTGGGTGTTGAGGGAGGCCTGTGTCTAGAAAGCCACAAGCCTGCCTGAGGAAGCTAAGCTTGCTCCTTGGCCTCCAGGGGGCTAGATGGAGGGTGCCTTCAAGCAGAGCCACTGCTTGGCACAAGGGGGAAATTCTTGCACCCCAGCTCAGCTCTCAAGGGCCCTGACTCATTTTGGGATGAAAGCTCTAATGCCCTGTAGGTTTCTGTGGCAGCTTGGGGCCAAAGGAGGAAAAGGCGAGTAGATAGAGAGTGGCTGGAGATGAGTGTGGAGACTTTTGTTTTCATTTTTGGAGCTTGGTCATCTGTCTCCCCCAAAGGTATGGATTCATCTGAAGAAGATTGGCTGGGGTGGGAAGAAAGGCCACCTCCTAACTCAGCACGGTTGCAGTGGAAGGAACTTTAGGAAAGACAAAGGCATACGGCAACCAGAAGGATGCTAACCCTGCATGGTCCACAGTGGCTCCCTTCCTCCCTCTGAGGCTGGGGAGATAGATCTGGCCCCAGTACAATGAGGGACAGAAAGAGTTGAGTTGGGCACAGTGAGTTGGGCAGGCTGTCTGAAGGCTTTAGACAGGAGGGATGACGGTGGGTCCAGGTATCTGAACAGGGACGTCCCTCAAGTCATAGCACAAGTAAGAGGCTTGAGTTAGAAGGCCATCGGACCAGAAGACCTCCCGCCATCTCAAGTCTTCCCTTGCTGGGTTCTTGTCTTCAGGCCTTTTCTCTTCCGGCTTGGCTTCACATACTAAGAAGTGTGGGGCAGAAAGCAATGGGGAGGGGTGGTGCAGCGGGGGTGGGGGTGGGGGGTGGA